GCCGAAATAGTAATATATAACTATAATGATTATAAATACTGTATCGTATAGTAATGAAACGTAAAATGGCTTTTAACTAACGAGGTATTTTGCTGGTGAGAGATTTGAGTTGCCTGTAGAAGCTAGTAAGCCTACTATTTGATTTAGATAGGCTCAACATGTTTCAGACCTTATTTTCCTGTTCCATGTTAAAATAAACCATTTTCAGTGCTACCGCTGAGAAAGAGTTATTTTTTTGGTCATGGAAAATGAGGTAAAGGTCATTGAAAATCATTGGTGAAAAAGTGTATGAACCCTGATACACACAGTGCCCACATCATCATTTGAAGTCCTTTTCCTCATGTGTGGCTCCGTCACAGACATTGTATTATGTGACATATAGTCCCTTTTTATATTTCGAGAGCAAAACCAAAAACATATAATGAAAAAGCGAATAATCATCTCTTTCCAACAGTGTATACAACTCAAAATGTGTGTTAGGCTCAATGTGACAGATTTTGATACTGATAAACAGTTTAACCAAACACCACTGATCTAAATGCATGTATTGCTGTGGGTCACTATTTGTTTTCTTTTCTCTGCGATGATGTATTCATGTCGTGCGTCTGTGTTTAGGAGTCATATCGGCAAATAATGAAGATGAGGCCCAAAGACCTGAAGAAGCGTCTGATGGTGAAGTTCAGAGGAGAGGAGGGGCTGGACTACGGTGGAGTGGCCAGGTAGCTCGCTGTTCACATCTATGATCACTTTTGTGTTTGATGTAGGCTTTCTATTTCTGTCATCAAGCCTTTTAACTTGCTTTCCTCAGTCACATTCCATTTGTAATCTCCCTGCTGACTTAAGATCAAGTGTTACACATTCACAGCCCTTTGTTTTTATAGCTCCGAGTCATGGCGCAGTCAAAAACAAGAACAAAAATATTGGAATACCTCCGTGCTGTCAGCAACTAAATACATTTCACTATATGTGTATTTCCCACTTCATTTACAGCTTCTTAAATAATGTGCCCTGTTGCTTATTCGGAGTGTTTTTTAAACACATTTTTACAGCCCATTCTTACCACTCTGCCTTACCTGCTGTTGTTTCTATTTCATCATTTTATTTCCTTAACCCTTAGATGCATAAGTGGGTCTTTTTTGACCCGGTCAGGTGGTTTTCTTGAAGTATCTTTGTAATTACATTTTTTTGTAAGGCGTGTGGCGCAGTGGGTAGAGCCTCGGTGGTGGGATCAAGGGGTCACAGGTTCAAACCCCACTGCAGTCAGCATGTCGTTGTGTCCCTGAGACACTTCACCCCAAATTGCTCCTGTGGGGATTGTCCACAGTATTGAGTATGTAAGTCGCTTTGGATAAAAGTGTCTAACAAGTTACATGTAATGTAATGTATTTTCATATTCCAGCTATTCCTCAAAACACGTTTTGGATATCATGCCATTCAAATTTTAAATTTACATTATATACATTTTAAGAAATTGTAGTTTTTGTATTAATACCCCAAGCTTCCATAAGTGGGTCAAAAATGACCCGCATGCATTTTCTATGGAATTTCGTTGCTTTTTTTCGAAATGTAAAAAAAATATCTGAAATTGTGAAAAATAATATATTTCTAGTGTGAACCAAAATATAATGCTAAATATAATACAAGTGATTTTTCTTAACCAAAATGACAAAAATGGCATAAAAACACATATTATTCTAATACGGGTCCTTTTTGACCGACTTATGGAAGAGTGTGGGTCCAGTCACTCGTGCATCCAAGGGTAAGCATCTAAATGTCCCATCATGTTCACTATGTGACTACTTCGTCTGAAAGTAGCATACAGTACGTTTATTAGACCTTTTTTGCAGAAAATCGCTGATTGTTAATAATAATTATTACCATCAATACTTTCTTTTTATGTATAAATAGTATTCCGCCTCTGTGTAACATCCCATATTTTAACATTTGTTCATGAACTTTACATTGTGCTCATAGATCATCGTAGATTCGTCTCTCCTTAAAACTTGCACTTTATTTTAGGGAGATTATTCAGTGTTTGACATATAATTCAACACAGAAAACACAATACTCTTTACCCCATGTGCCTTAGCAGAGTGCTGATGTACATTCATTATACTCTGGCTAACGTGGTCTTTGATACAGTAGACAGGGACCAAACCTCCCTGCTTCAGTAAATTAGCCAATCACGAGTGAGGAGTCCGTACCTTGGCCACTGAGCAAGGCTGGCAGCAGTGATTTATGAAGCCCTTTGAAATGTATGGTAACTTGTCACATACAAAATTAAAGGAATGCTTCACAGAGCATTTTTTTCCTCACTAAAATGTCATTATTATTTTGGGGGGAAAAGTGGAAGAAATGTAGGAGAAAAGTGGCTTATGAATAATTGATTTTCAACAAAAGAATAAATGCATTAATGCACAGGCTTTTCACCCACCTCCCGGCTGCCTTCCTTTCAGACAATGATTAAATGATTGATAGCTAATTTTAAGAAATATGGGGCTCCTGACTGTAACCATACTTGAAGATATCCATCTTTTATTTTCACCTAATGTCCAATATAACTGTGCTTGTTTTAAGATGATACTTCTCTTCAGTCTGTTATATCTTCTTAAGACCAGGCCACATGAGCATTTTCAGCATTTTTGAAAGTAGTTTGAGTTTAACGGTGTTAGTCTTCCCCTCTCATAAGTGTGTTTCTTAAGTTCTGAGTGACATAAGGTGTTTTTACCTTGATGAAAACGGTGGCTAAATATATATATGCGCACCTCTATAGTTCACACATTTAGACAGAACTAATGTCTTCTTGTCTCTTTCTTCACAGACACAATCTGTGAAACTCTCAATCATTTATCAATGCGATACTTGCAGTACACTGTCTGCTTCATAATTGTTCTGCCTAAGCACACACACACACACACACACACACACACACACACACACACACACACACACACACACACACACACACACACACACACACACACACATCATTGAGTGATCAGAGTAAATATGAAAGATTGCCTATTGCATTAAAAGTCAACCATTAGATACCACATTGTCTTTGTGAAGACTGTGTATCCTTCCTTATATAATTAGAAGCTTACATGCCACTTGATTTGGTTCAGCTCAGCAAACATGGTACCTGCACATGTTACTTGTAAAATCTTGACATGCCAATTGCTTTTGAAGTGTGCCAGAAGGAGAAAAGGGGGAGTGCTGCTGCATACTTCTGCTTAGTTCTATTTCTCTCTTTCTGTGTATGTGTGTGTGTGTGTGTGTGTGTGTGTGTGTGTGTGTGTGTGTGTGTGTGTGTGTGTGTGTGTGTGTGTGTGTGTGTGTGTGTGTGTGTGTGTGTGCCAGGTAGATCGAGAACCAGGTCGCCCCTATAAGGACCCTCCACGGCGGGCGGTCCGGGGCGGCCAGGGCATCGGGTAAGCACGGCTAGATCGTAGACCCATGTACACACCCGGGGAGCCTCGGCGGCCCCCAGGGGTAGGGTATCAGTCTGCCACTAGACCCGTACGGCGGCCAGGCAGCCCCCGTAATGACACTACCTAGCGGGGGGAGGGACAGCATAAAAACCAAAACCTAGGGACCTACGTCTACCTGAAGCAAAGGACATCTAGGTTTCTCTTCCCTTTTGGTAACACCTTAAATCTTGAACCAGGTGAAATTTGCGTGGAAAAGATAAATCATTATGTTAGATGTATAGAGGACTAGGTACCAATATCAGGGTTTTTTTAACACTACGAATCGCGGTAAAGGCTACTCGTATGGTCACAGGACCGTACACCGATGACCTTTATATTCCAACGTCAGTCTGCAATCGGAATGCCACCGAAGTAGGGTGAAGTCAGACATCAAGTTGGAATGAAACTGACGCGTGAGACATTCCGGAGTCAGAGACAGTTTTGGACTACCTTTCGACGAGACAGAGACAGAGAGTGTGGTGTGTGTGTGGTGGTGTGTGTGTGTGTTTGTGTGTGTGGTGTTGTGTGTGTGGTGGTGTGTGTGGTGTGTGTGTGTGGT